TTTTTTTTTTGGCAATTATCCTTCTTTTTCATATATACAACACCCGGAGATCAAAGCCTGATAATAAACCTTGTCCTCACCAACATTCCCAATATAATGAATATGGTGAAACGTTAACACAGCCTGTCAAACTTCAAAAAATAGTACAACTCAGACCTCTTATTCCAAAATTGCTCGGGCACAGATTTTCAGCTCGTAATTTGTCACCGGAACCAACTTGATGCACCTGCAGCAGCCCCCTTATCGTCTTCCCTTTGCTCTTCTTTAGCAAACTCCTCGATCAATTGCAGTTGCCTCTCAGTCAAATTTCTGAAATAAAGTACAAATGAAAGAGGAGAATAATATCGAGGAATTTTAAGATGCCAATATAAATATTTTGAAAGGCATAACACAATCATCGGGGCTGGATGTTTATGTCATAAAGCCTTTTGATGATTATCGTAACAACCAAAACACATGGCAGAAATCCCTCTTTAATCAATAACCCAAGTAATTCTAAAGATGAAACCAAGATAATGAAGAAAAAAAAATTAGTAGATTGGGCAAGAGATTTATTTACCAAAAAAAAATAATAATAATTTTCGCAAATTGATTCATCAGAAAAATAACTAGGATAAAAGAGAATAAAATAGCAAAGTCGTTCTGAGGCAATCTTCGAGAGCAAAGGTTGGCTTTTGACGATTTTAGTACTGACTGAAGAAAAGACTATTATAAAATATAGTTGCTAACTATAAGGCAGCCCCAAAGTACTTACGTTGGGATGCTGACATTGAAGTGCACATACTGATCCCCGAATGAAAAGGAGTTTTTCACTTTAATTCCTGCACAAAAAATTAAGAGTTTTATGACAATCCAAATTATGCATCGGAACTTACAAATTTCTACAAGTAGGCCAAGGAAGTAAAGAAATGGAGACCTTTTCAAGACAAACTACGTTTCGCAACCAGAAAGCACATAAATATTTTCACTTTGAAGCATGAATGAACAATTAGTTTAAAAAAGTGACCTATTAAAGCTAACGAAAGTGCATTCGCTCATGGCAATTCGAGGAAGATATGCAAACATAATCCCCTACAAGGTAAAATATACGTACAGTAATTCTAGAAGAGAAATTCAATTATTATGATAATGAGACTAATTAAGAACAAGGGAACAGTATTATCAAGAGGTAAATGCTTACCCTTTTTCCTCAAAACCACCTTTTGGCCAGGTTGAGTCCCAGGACGGACCTACACACCACATATAGAAAGTCAATCTCAGTTGGAGAACGTTATTTGAGATACATATATATATGTGTGTGTGTGTGTGCGTGTGTGTAAGCTTGGCATTCTAAGCAGAAGTTCGGGATTTCAACATATAAAGTCTGGATATACATATATATATATGTGTGTGTGTGTGTGTGTGTAAGCTTGGCATTCTAAGCAGAAGTTCGGGATTTCAACATATAAAGTCTGGATATCCCTTCCCAATGCAACCCAACACGAAAAAGAAAGAAAAAACTCAGCAGAAAGAACACATCAAAAGATGAAAAAGCAGGTTGCAACAACAATGTTCACATTTTCACTGTTACATTATCTAAAGAAGAATGATGTCAACAAAGTTATTTTTTGACAAACCTTAACAACAACGTCGCCCGTCAGAGTGGGAACCTGTATCGTTCCCCCCAAAATTGCCTGCAAAAGAACATAAATCTTATTAACAATATCCACGCCCATAAAATTGATACAGACATGGAAAAAGGACAAGCATCACCTTCTGTTATTCATGAGACTAGAAGTTACATATTTTACTAAATTTTTTATTCTATTTCGATATAAAGCCACAAAAAAAAAACCAATTGATAGATATATGTTCTTGAATAAACAAAAGTTATTCTGTCACACAGCTTCTTATTGTTCTTTAAATTGTGAAAATCTCAGAAACAACACTTTTCAATTATTACCTGAGTGATGCTCAAAAATGCATCTACATGGATATTAGGCCCTTCTCTACGGAACACTGGATCTTCTCTGACCTGCCAAACATTCAGAATGGTTTGTCAGCATGCGAGCTACAACCTCAATCAAGCTGACCGAAGGAAAGGGAATATTAAAAAGCAAAGGCGCTAATTCATCAACCTTAATCAAAACAATAAGATCACCAGGCTGATTTCCATCAGGATCTGCCCCTCCACTTCTAGGAATCTTAATAATTTCGTTATTGTCCACTCCTGCACATGTACAATGTAAAATTATAAGACAATTCCTATTAACGATCTTCGACAAAGAAGTGAAACACCACCATCATTTTCAACTTCTATCATAAAGTTTCAACTCTCACATAAAGACCAATCCAAAACATTCTCAATATCGATGCTAAGAATCAACATCACTTTGACTTGGAAATATCTGGAAAAAATAATTCTTCCAAGGACAGTTAATATTAACATCAGTGATAGCAAGTCAAAATATCACAGAACGGTGCAATAACAAGTCCCTCATGCAGCTGATGCAGGCCCAAATATTAAGCTGTTTTAGCAGGTAAATCCAAAATAAAACCACCAAACAAAAAATCTACCTTGATCATCATTAAAATTGGCAACCTCTGTATATCACTATTTTCCTATTACTATCAAAAAAATTGTGGAATAAATATGTAAGAAAGGTGAAAACAGAATGTATGAAATAACTTTTACAATGAGCTAACCTGCCACCACATTTAACTTTACTGTTTTTGCACCTCTCACGACCCGTTTTCCCTTGCAAGACTTGCAGAAGCTCTGTTGCCAAAAGTAGAGAAAGTATATAGTGATACAAGTTAATTCAATGAATAACATACAAATTTTCAATCAATAAGTTTGTTCATGTCATATGAATAACAATGTGTCAATAATATTCTTTGCAGTCTAAAATCTTCCAGACGACAATCCCATTAATGCCCATGTGCAAACTAATAACACCAGAGGCATCCATGCAAACACAGGTTTGAGATTGCAAAACTGACCATAACAAACTAACTGTCCTAGATGACCAATAAATGAGTACTCAGCAACATAAACTATAAATAACATTTATTCTTCACTATATTGATGGATGTCATTTAATGAATAAAATACAATAACACCAGGCATATGAACATGTGATTACTGAATCTTGAAACTGTGCATTGTACTGAAAAAATGTAAAATATCATACCGACACAGTTTTTCCTTCTCCTCCGCAACTCGGACAAGTTGATTGATATGTAAAAGGGCCATTTTGTGATACAATCTGGGATGATAAACAAGGATATTAGAATTAAACACATATTACGCAAAAGCAAGTGCTTAAGGTATTTACCATGCCAGAGCCTTTGCATCGTTTGCATGTTTCAGGTCTTGTTCCAGGAGGAACTCCAGTTCCGCCTAAAAGAAGCAAGAATTAATGAGAATCACATTATGAAGATGTACACACAACCTATGAAATGAAGGTTTTTTACGACAGTAGAGTTACGCAAAAATATAAGTAGAAAAAAAAAAGATTGACATTGACAAAATAAACCAGGATTCATGATATGCAAAACTGTATCACTAAACAAAACAAATAAAGGCACCAAATTTAACATGGGAATCGACATTTAAAATGAGCTGTCTTAAGAAATAATTGACAATACCACAAGCATCACAGGCCAAATCAGTCAGGATGCTAAGCGTCTTGGTGCATCCTTGGACAGCTTCCATAAACGATAGTTCCAGTGATACCTGACGTATATGCCAAAACTGTCAAACTACAATTCAGGGGGCAAAAAGTTGCTAACTATCACTGAATGTAGATCATAACCTTAACATCTTCTCCACCTACTCCTCTGAAGATGTTGAAAATCTGATCTCCACAACAAAATGAGAAAGAAAATATTAGATTGTCAAAGATTAAAATTTTATAGCAGTAATGACAAAGAATTAACAAGAATGTATAATAGCATTCAAGATCAGATTATATAGCCAGGGAACATGTAACATACACTATAAGTTATGAAGTCATACGATTAATCAAAATTGTACAAAGGTGATCATACAGCAAATTAACAGACTAAGTCCAGTACAATTAGTAGCACTGCATGTAATGGCTCCATATTTGGAATAAACACCTAATCCTCTTCTTGTTGCTTTCAGAATAATCATTGGGGTAGTACCAAAACAATACCCGATTCCATACAACTCTAGCATTAACAAGGATAAGGATTCCATAAACACTTCAGAATGAAATAAGAAAAACAGTAGAAGCCATACATGTACAGAACGAAAAAGAACAGAAATTCTGTAACAACAAAAATGCTTACATCAGCATTTCTAAATATGTCCTGGAAAGGATTAAATCCAGCACCAAATGGATCAAACCCAGAGCCTTCACCATTCCCAGCACGTTCAAAAGCTTCATGGCCAAGCTGTTAAAAGGAAATGAACAAATATAATTCTGATATAAATCAGAAGGAATGATGAGAAAAAAAAAAAAAAAAAAAAATCAACTCCCTTATCGTGCACATAATCAATCCTACATACAGAAAACTCCAAAATGCTGAGAACTTATGCAATTCCGGAATTAGCAAGTAAGATTTTTTTCTGACTAACACCTAAAGAACTCGCAATGTTGTTTATCATATCAGGGGAAAACAGATGCAAAGTTGTGTGCATTTCCAAAAATCAGAAACTTATAGTTACAGATAGAGTATGTGCTACAAAATCTTGCCATCTGCAAAAGACAACAGCATGAACAGTCCTTTAATTTTTATTATGTGCAACATTACAGTCCGTCCCTTCCCTTCTATCCCATCACAAGCAACAGGTTAGAGACACCAGAGCTGTGCATAGAATACTTAAAAGGCCCACTTCTTAACCATGGTTGCAACTGATAAGAGTTAAGCATATAAATAAGCATTGACAATATTATACCTGATCATATTGTTGGCGCTTTTCATCATCCTTCAAGACCTACATAATTGAGACCATACAACAAAATTAACAAATATATACACTCACACACACACATGTTGGTATTTGGAAATTATTTTGTGGAACCTGAAGAATTTCATAATATACCTCATAAGCCTTCTGAACTTCTTGAAATTTTCTTTCAGCTTCTGGGTCATCTTTGTTTGTATCAGGATGCAATTTTTTTGCAAGCTGCATAACAGAATCATATATGGAAACTAGAACGTGGGTCCACTATTCAATATATTTCAAAACTGTATATGGAGTGACAAGATAGAAACATACTCCATAGTACGCTTTCTTTATTTCCGATGCCGTTGCATTTTTATTGACACCCAGAACATCGTAAAAATCTCTCGACAAATGTGCTTCACGGGGAGTTCCATCAAAGATAAAAATGAGAAAAAGTTACCAAAAAAGAAAAAGAAAGAAAAAGAAACAAAATCTACAACATAAAAAATCTTAGAAAGTTGTTAAACATACATCATGCTGAACGATCATGTACAAGTTCTTGCCGTAACTTCACTTGGTATTTACAACCAAGCTTAAGAATTAACCATAACAAACCCAGACGCTTAATGTGTGCGCATAAAAATAGTGTAAATAATTACCAGTGCCATGGATCGATCGTGCTCCACGCAAATTATTATTGGAAGATGGTATCTTCAACCAATACTTCTCAAGACCCACTGTATTGAATTAAAAGAAATTCCGTCATTTACCTATCGAGCAATTTAAAAAATCAAAACTTCAATTCCCCAATTTCCACTACCTTGTCCATATCTGGAATTTGGAGGGCACCTGGATTGATTAAACAGAGAGGTACTGAAGCTCCTCCCACCCCCACGCACGAAGTAATTGCACAATAGCTGCAGCCAATCGAAACAATAACTACACATCAATATTAATATATCAATATTCAGGATACACACGCACAAAAAGACAACATTTTTCGCATATGCGTAGGCAGGGAAATGTGGGAGGCGTACGGCTGAATCGGAAGTGTGGAGGAGAAACGAGGCGACGGAGCGGCGAGCGAGGCGGAGGCCGTGGGACCTGACCATTGATTTGCTCTGCAACTGCACGAAGAGGATACAAAAGAACAGAAGGGGAAAAAGGGTTAGGAGTAAAACCCTAGAGAAACCCTTTTATTTAATTATTGTCCAATTAAGGAAGAGGGACTATTTCATTGCATGGTGCGATCTGTTCAAATTAATCGAAAAACAAGAAAATGGAAAGCACTGATCAGTTGGAAAGTTCTAGAGGCAACTACAGAAATGCAAAGGGTTAAGGTTTTCCAGAGGAAAAAAAAATCCCCCTATCCCCTCCCTAGTTAATCCAGAACGCGCTCAGCCTACGTGACTGTCTCTGGTGCTTCGGAATTTTATGTGGCAAAATTACATGCTTCGTTATTAGGCTTGGGCAAATCTATAGTAATATAAAGAAGTTGTTGGAAAAATACAAAAATAGTATGTTTGACTTGAAAAATAATGTTTTGACTTACTAATTTAAGTAACATCAATGGGCCCCACGCGTTAAAATTAAAATTAAGTAATAAATCTCTCATAGCAAAAATAGTTCGGATTTTCTCGAACAGAAACTTAAGAAAACAAAAACAGTTATGAATACGTTTTTGGTGATAAATGAATTAGATTATTACTGCAATATTTTGTTTTTTTGTTTTTTTTTTCGTTT